AATTTTTATGGCTTATCCTTTGGCTAGATCTTAATTAGCGGTAATTATAATAATTCATACAATTTCTTTGGCATGTGCAAGCATTTAACTGAAGCACCTTTTTTATTTTTATTTTTATTGGCTTCCGTTGGGGTCACGTAAGCTAGTATGTAATTTACAGGACAGAAAGGGGCAATGAGGACGAGGAATGCAACGATATTATGTTTTACGACTTTATTTCTTTCTACCAGACATATTTGATGTGAGCACTAAAATGGAATGAATTTTTTTATTTTTGGCAGTAAAATATAAGCGAAAACGGAAATATCGAAATTTACCGAATTCTAACACGCGATTTTACAGATGCGAACTTTGCACTTACGAATACACAAACACACTCCTTCGCAATTTATTTCAAATGTACAATTGTATTACCATGGCTTACATTTTGTATTTATTTTCATACACTTTAAGGTATTTGGGCAATAAGCCGGAAAAGCACGTTTCACATACATGATTCTAAGTAAATTGTTCAACGAGGCCGACACGACCAACACGGCGTATGAATGACATTATTTTCGATAATGCTTATATGCTGACAGCTACTTCTTATTATAAAATTATTTAGCTGTACTAACTACTTGTTAAGTAAATAATCCAACATGCGATTTTATTGAGAAATACTCTCGTATTTTCTAAATCCAAATTTTCTAAATCTTTGAACAGGTGAAATTGCCGTTTTATTTGCTTACGCTTAATTAAATTTTATTTCATTATCCACCAACATTAGTTTTCCTTTACTTTGTGTACGGGCACTTCCTGCTAACAAAAAATACTTCAGTAATACTTAATATTTCAATTAAAATATTTGCAGAGACCATGAAATAACACATTAACTGTAATTGACTAATTTCAATGGAAATTTATTTTATCTTTTGTTTGTTTTGATTTTTGGTTTATTTCTGTAAACCAAACACTAAACACTTAAAGTAGATAGTGTGTTTGTGTCTTGATCAAGATTTCCCGCTCAGTACCACGAACGCACGTTACTGTATCAAACACCGACATTGACTAGATTCATACACTTCATATATGAATTTCATATTATTATTTCAGACGAAACGTGCTTCACATTAAATGTTATTTATGAATAAAATTTCTGGAGAGTAAAGCTTTCCAGTTAAAAACTCTTATACTGAAATTGAATGTATCCTAGCGCATGCTCTTAGCAATAGCGGCTCTTTGTTGCCTAAGCTTCGGTTTCCTTCAAAGCACTTGCACAATTATTTAGTAGTTGCCCTTTCGACTGTGCACCATAAACACTTTGATAAGATTTGCACTTTGATAATGTAATCCGAATTCGTACACGACTATAATTAATAAAAAATTATTTTGGAAATTTTTAAATAAATGAATAACACAATTGTTTAATGTTATAATACTATTTTTTTTTATTACATTTTATTAATATTTATTTTTATTTATTCAATTATTATTTTATTTGTTTTTATGTTTCTCCATTTTATAAACTTTATCAGATTCCTAGACAACATTTTAAATAATAAAGATCACAAACTATAACTGATGAGTGCTTTTGGATTAACGACCCTTGGAATGTATCCGACGCTATGGAATGCTTACTTGCCTTCAATTACTTATAGCTCTTTTCCTTAAAACTTTAAGTTCAATCAAAGCCTTCTTGCCCGCATATTAACTTAAGCAAGGCAAGGTGTTGTTTGTCTAAAATTAGTATCTTTTGTGACAGCGTCTTGTATACATTAACACTTACAGTTAATATATCCACGGTACGTATTTCACCACAAAAGCAAACAAAGGATAAAGAAGGAACAATAGTTTGCTGCACTTTTGTTTGTTTTATCAAAAGCTGCTTACTTTTGTTCCTTTTGTCTTCCTAATGAAAGAAACTCCGATGAACTTTTTTCTAGCAAATGAGAAAACTACAAATTAGAAGGAAACTCAGGACATTAAGAACTGAGTTAGTAAATGCTCCTTAAAAGAAATTACACAACAAAAAATATATTGTCTCTCTACTGTGGTTATGATTGAAAAGCTAAGAATTATACAAATAACTTTTATATTTTTAAATAAAAATTAAATAAAGTAAAAAATTAAATAGAATTACTCTTGAGTCAAATACGCAGAACTCTAGGGAAAAATACGCTAAAGACATATAGTGGAATATTGTCTCTGCTTTCAGAAATAAATGAAAATGTGCTTTATTTATACTTTATTGGGATTTAGAAAAAAAAATTTTTTTCAGCACATTGTTTGGACTTTGCCATATGCTCTAAGAAAATCTTATAGTACTAGATGATGACCTGTTGGAATATAACTGGTAATCTTCACCATTAAATGATAACCTATCGGCATTTTACTAGCAATAGCTTGGCCACAATTTGGCAGATACTTGAGATGTTAAGTATTAAGTATCGAGACTTTAAGTATTGTCTATATATATGGTCAATTGCTTAGCCCCACATATATTAAGTCCAGTAGTGTCAAAACATGTGATCATGGCGGCAAGGTCATATCATTAAAACATGAAATTACACATTGGATCAACTTTGCGAGTAACAAACCTAAATCGCACGAATTACGAATTATTAATATAAAAAAGATATTAGACGCTAAAAAGAGTATATTTATACAACACACAGGATTTTTAAGGATATTCCATCAAATATCAGATGGAATATCATCCATATTTCAACAAGAAATAACAGAAGACGAAGTGCGGAAGTCCATTTAGCTAGCTAATAACTAGAAGGTACCAGCAATTCACCATATACACAATTCGTATATACTAGACTTAAACAAGTTTTTTTACAAGTTTTTTGTAAGCAAGAGCAGCAAATTCCAAAATTCTTAAATTCTGATATCACATCTCTTGTTTTTAAAGATTAGGAATATTTTTATCTCTAGATGTGATCTCTAGATGTAAAGTAATACCTTCTTTTGACAATTTTTTGGCATTTCCGAGTAACAGATATTACAGGAATAAAAAACTGTTTTATAATGAACTATATTCTATAGTACTCAACTGCTTCTCTATGTTGTGACATATAGTCATGTTGCAGATAGTCATTAAATTAATAATATCTAATCAATAATATACATAAATGAATTTACTATATTAAAAGTATTTATAAAAAAGTGTTCATATTAGTGATTGGAAACCTTGAATAAATATGTATTTCTTTAAATAAACACTGCTTGGAAATGTGTAGATGAATCAGTTTCCACTCCTAGAAAACCACTCTTATGAAAGGAAATAATGATTTGGTTTATCTTAATAGCAAAGTAGAGCAATGTACAGAAAAATATTATAATTCATTAATTAAGACAGAAATAGGATTTTAAGTCATAAATGATTAAAAAGTTGTTTTGAAACTATTTAATAGCTCTGTACTGAACAGCTATGAAAGAAACTAGGTCCTCACCCAAATTTATTTTAATCTTTAATAATAACATTTACGGATTTATGAACTATTTTCAAGTATTATTTTTGCCTAAAATCTCAATCCCGAGTTTCTGATAACAAAACGTTAAAGCTGCTCTCAAATAAAATGGAAAAGATGAACAAAGTGAGGATTTACACACTTCATTACGATTACGTACACTGAAGCATGCAGAACACATGCTCAGATACGCGCAGACTGTGCCGTGCCTTGTGGAGTTAACACACATCCCGGCATGAGGTTCACAGAAGTGTATAAAAGCTGATATAAAATCCTTTTTAATCCTAAACGAGCGCTAAGCAGAGTGCAGCTTTTTTTCTATTTGCATTCTATTTTTATTAAAATTTCGAAACTAGCGCAAGTTATGTGAAAGGGCACACAAGTGAAGAGTGAAGAGGTTGTGGTATTTAGGAAGTGCAGAGTTGAGAATTATTAGGTTGCACAACGGCAATGACTAATGAGAAAAATTCTACAGTAACAATAAATGAAGTAGATTTCTAGTTATAACTGAGCGGACGTGAGGAGATGGAATGATGAGACGATAACAACTGGTAACGCAGAAAATCGCAATTCTTGTATTAAAAATATTTGATCTTTTAAACGTATGAAAAGATGCAGAATAAAATTTTGAAATCTTCTGGTTAGAGTAGTGGTTGTAAAGATTAGTGTCATAATAAGTTAGTGTCACATAAGTCGCTCTTGCCTGCTTAGTGTCTTTTACTAAGAAAGTATGGAAAGAACACCGCCCGTTTACGGTATTGACCGTAAGTTTTCATTTCCCAATTTTGAAATTACATACATGCACAAAAGCCATTGTATTTGTAAGTATGTAATGGGTACTAATTTATTGTAATATTGAACCATGAAACAATCAGTTGTTGCATAACATATTTCAACAATAAATATCTCAACAGATTAACATGAAATCCCAGGATCAATTTTTGTTAAAATATAACTCTGAAATGATTCCGATATACCGCAGGTTAAAAGATAAATTTAACAAAGTACATAATAATACAATACTGAAGAGTTCGCTTACAAAGAAATGCAGAGGAATTACTCAGTGTCAATTTCACAGTGTCAATATTCCTAGTCATCATTTGCTAACAAAATTATTACTTAAGCTAGCCTTAAGACCTAGTGTACATTTAATAAATTAAAGTACACACACTTTGAGTAATTTTTAGCTACTGATCTTATTTCAAATAATGTTGTGTTTTTATACAAAAATATTTTAAGACTAATTTCTACATCAAGGTTAAAATATTATGATTTTAGTGGACTGTATTACATTTGTCAAAAAAGGTTAAAAAAGGTTAAAAAAAGGACGGAAGTCCCAACACTTGGGATTTTCCTCCTATTGTTTTTATGAATATATTTTAGTTTAATAATTTAAATACGGTTGCTAAAAAATGTTACTATTTATCTATATTTTTCTTTAGTACATAATTCTAAGAATTTAGGTGATGATATAAACTATAATAATTAAATTTATGGTATAAATTCCTGTTCATGATTGAACATTCTGCCGGAGGTCAAAACTCATGTTCGTGATTGAACATTCTGCCAGCGGCCAAATTCTACATTCCAATTTCGTTTAATAACATTTATCGTCTTATTCTCAGCAACATGTATTTGTTCGTGTACGCCTTCCAATACACATAATTTCTGAATCGGACGTTTTATTGTGCCGTTCTGAGTTTTTACCGATACTACTCTCACCAGATTATCTTTTCCAGGATGAACGTCAATTATCTTTCCAAGAGGCCATCTTCCTGGATATGTTTCCTCATTCTTCACTATTACCACTTGGCCTTCCTTAACATTTGCTTGAACCCCTTTCCATTTGTACCTCTGCTGAAGATTCGTTAAATATTCTTCCTTCCATCGTTTCCAAAAATGTTTCTTCATTGCTTGAATTATCTTCCAACGATTTAATGAAGATATGTTCATATCATCTACTGCTTCTGGATAGTCAATGATAGCATGCCCAATTAAAAAATGACCTGGAGTTAATATATCATTGTCGTCAACATTTGCACAAAGCGGTCGTGAATTAAGTATGCCCTCAATTTGAGTTAGAAGTGTGCTTAACTCCTCATACGTAAGTTTATTTTCGCCAACAACTCTTTTCAAGTGGTGTTTTATTGACTTCACGGCCGACTCCCATAAACCTCCAAAATGAGGACTTGCCGGTGGAATGAAATGCCATTTTATACCTTCTGCTTCCAATGCACAAACTGCACTCACATTGCTTTTAATAGCCTGTTGTAAATCCTTATCTAATTTTTTGGATGCTCCAACGAAGTTAGTACCGTTGTCTGAGTATATATGTGAACATTTGCCTCTGCGTGCAAACAATCGCTTCAGCGCCGCCAGAAATGAGTCTGATGTCATGTCACTTACCAACTCTAAATGCAAAGCTTTAGTTGCCATACATACAAATACCGCTACGTACCCTTTAAAAGTTTTTTGGCCTCGCCCTTTAGAACATTTTATTAGCAATGGTCCAGCGTAATCTACTCCACAGATTGGTTCTCTAACTTTTCCGGCTGAATTCCTCTGGATGCTAGGTCTGCTGGATTTTCCTTTGATCGCACATAAAACCAATTGGCGCTTGGAATTAACGAGCTTATTTCATTTACTCTTGACCTAATAAATTTATTTTTGCTTGAATTGCTTTTTATTCAGCATAATGTAATCGTGGAATCACTCCATGCATACATTTTTATTTTTCTGTTAATTATGTTATGAATTTTATTTAATAATTTTGCCAATAGATGCGCTGCACACAGCTCAAGCTTCGGCAATGTTTTTCTATTTTTTATAGGATTTACCTTACTTTTTGCTGCTATTATGGACACCTTTGCGTGCGTTTTTATGTACACTATTGCTGCGTAGGCCTTTTCCGATGCGTCAGCGAACCCCACCAGGCATATTTCATCATTTCCGGTAACTCCTACCCATCTCTCAATTCTGATTGTTTGTATTGCGTCTAAGTTCTGCACAATGTTTTTCCATTCTTTCATCATTTCTTCATTTAATTTCATATCCCAATCTAAATTACTTATCCAGAGCTTCTGCACAAATAACTTAACCAATACTGTAACTGGAGCCAATAGTCCTAATGGATCAAATATTTTACCTAGATACGATAATGCCATTCTTTTTGTTATATAGACGTCTCTACTTTCTGCTATCTTAAACATGAATATATCATTGTTAGGATTCCATTGCAAGCCAAGCGTTTTTATACTTTCTTCTTTATCTATATCAATGACCTCATTGTCTTTTGATTTTTCCACCGTTTCTACTATATCCATGCTGTTTGAGCACCATTTTCTCAAATGAAATCCATACTTCTCCAAATGTGCCGATATCCTTAGCCGAACACTTTTGCACTCTTCTTTTGTATCACCGCCAGTTAGAAGATCGTCCATATAAAAATCGTCTTTAATTATTTTCGATATGTGATTATCCTGACATTCATTTGCTATTTCAAATAAAGTTCTTATAGCTAAAAATGAAGCAGGGGCAATACCGTAAGTTACAGTTGTTAACTTGTATTCTTCAATTGGCTGATTAATCTCGCTTCTCCACAAAATATGTTGGTATTTCTGATCATTTTTACTCACCCATATTTGCCTATACATTTTTTCTATGTCAGCAACTATGGCAAATTTTTTCAGTCGAAACTTCAACAATATATCAAAGATATCCCTTTGCAACCTTGGGCCAACATATAATACATCATTTAAACTATTTTTATTCGTGGTCTTTGCCGAAGCATCAAAAACTACTCTCACCTTAGTAGTGATACTATTCGCTCTTACTACTGCTTGGTGAGGTAGATAATATTTTCCCTGTCTTTTTGAACTTACTCTTTTCATATGCCCATCAGCTAGATACTGTTTCATGAATTCGACATATTCTCTCTTTAATGATGGGTTTGCCTGTAATTTTCTTTCCAAATTTATGAATCGTGCCATCGCCATTTTGTATGAGTCGCCAAGTTGGTGTTCTTCTTTGAAAGGTAACTCAACTACAAATCGTCCATCTTCATTTTTGGTAGTTGTCGCAGCATAATTTTTCATACAATATCCGTCTTCTGATGAATCTTCATCCTCTGGAATTTCTTCTATTTCCCAAAATTTCTCTATGTTGACGACGTTGGAAGAGATGAATCCTTTAATGCTTCTTTTTGCTTGTAAAATACCTGATAATATCCAGCCGAACTTTGTTGATTGCGCCAATATTTTATCTTTTTTAAGTAGACCGCCTTCAAGAATTTCTCCGTAAAGATCGCTTCCTATGATTATGTCAATTCTATCGGATTTATTAAAATTTGGGTCCGCCAAGGTCATATTTTCCCACTTATCTATATTATAGCTAAAGGTTTTATCCGGTTGACAAGATACCAATGATGGTAAAATTAATGCTTCTGCATTTATTTTATATTTACTGGTGAATCGTGGGTGAATTTGAAGATTTATTTTTGCCTTTGCAACGCCAACCGGTGTTCCTCCAAACCCTTGCACTTCCATTTTTACTTTTTTCCTTGGCAAATTTAATATTTGTGCCGCTTCTTCTGATACAGCTGTAGTTTGCGACCCTTGGTCAATTAGTGCCCTTAACATAATCATCTCACCTTGAACACTTTTTACGCGCACTTGCGCCGTTGCAAGTAACACATTTTCTGCTGTGCCCGTATTCATTGTTAATGTTGATGTGTTATTATTTTGCCCTGAATTAATGTGCAAAAGAGTATTATGCCACTTCCCACATTCTTGACATTTTGTCTTACTATTGCATCTTTTTGTAGTTTTATGCGATAAACAGACGCGACAAATTTTAGCGTCTTTTACCCATGTATTTTTGTCCTTGACTTGTAGCTTTAGAAACTCATAACACTTTAATGCCATATGTCCTTTTTTGTTGCAGTAAAAGCACTGGTAATCATTTGCTACTATAGTTGTCGCTGTTGTTTTTTGAAAAGACTTTACATTATTAGTTTGTTTCTTAGATTTAATCGCCTCTGCTGCTTGGTATTGCTGCTCCAGAAACTGTAATACATCGTCCAATTTTTGAATCTCCTTTGTCCTTTTTATATTTTGCTCATATAGCCGTAATCCTTCCTTATCCAACTTCCTGATTATAATCCTTGCTATTATTGGATCTGCTTCATTCGTTTTTATACCCATTGCCTTCAGCCCCTGGATACATTCTATCGATGTGTCAAGCAACTTTTTCAAACTTGACGCTGAATCATTATATACAGATGGTTGATCGAGCAATTTATCGACCAATATTGTAAACAACATTCTTTCATTTTCGTACCTTTGCGACAAAATCTCCCAAGCTACAGCATAATTCAATTCCGACACCGGTAGATGTTGTATCAGCTTGCTTGCTTCTCCTTTTACTAATGTTTTGAGTCGATACATTTTCTCAACATTCGAAATTTTTCCATCCTCATGGATAAGCCTTTTATATAGATCATGAAAAGACGACCATTCTTCAATATTACCGTTGAAATTTGGGATTCTAATGCAGTCAAGCTTAACGTTGTTCCCCTCACGTAATTTTTCCATTTTATTGGCTAATTCATCTAACGCCTTATCGTATTGGTCTTCAACCTCATCATAATCATTCAGAATGTCTACTTCATTGTACGACATTTCAATAACCAGCTTCTTATAGATACTTCTAATGTCTTCGAACTTTCTTTTCCAGATTCCATTAAGTTGTTCCAATCGCGTGACAGTATCATAATGGTCAAGATTTTCTAACATCTGTCTTAACCTTGCGATGTTATTGTTATATTGCTCTACTAGATTGTTGATTTTATTTTTCTCAATTTGACTTTCCGTTATTTTCTCGTCTACACTTTTGCTTTCAACAGATTCTGCATTTCTATCTTTGCTTTCAACTATTTCTTCGAGCATTGTTTTCACCTGAATCACTTTTTGATGCACTGTATTGTAAAAGTCCTCTTTAAAATATTTGTCTTCCTTATTCTCCGTTAAGAGTATTTTCTCGTGATTATCTTTAAATTGATTCCATAATCCTTGTACTTTATCTAAACGTTCTTTTATTGTATTCGCACGCAACTCACGTTTGCTGCTATTCTTCTCGATATTCTTAACATCGTCATATATTGCTCTTTGCTGTTTTAGCAGAGCTAATAATTTTGATGGATCCATTTTCTTTTTACCGTACCGATATTTAAATCTCGATCAATGCTTTTTGCACTATATTTAAATTTTTGGCACCGATGTTTAAGCCTTGGTCCACGCTTGTATCTTTTAGCACTGCACTATATATTTAGTTTATGGCACCGATGTTTAAGCCTCGGTCCACGCTGGTATCGCACTGTACTCAATTTCACTTTATGTCTCGAAGGACCAAAATGTACATTTAATAAATTAAAGTACACACACTTTGAGTAATTTTTAGCTACTAATTTTATTTAAAATAATGTTGTGTTTTTATACAAAAATATTTTAAGACTAATTTCTACATCAAGGTTAAATTATTATGATTTTAGTGGACTGTATTACATTTGTCAAAAAAGGTTAAAAAAGGTTAAAAAAGGACGGAAGTCCCAACACTTGGGATTTTCCTCCTATTGTTTTTATGAATATATTTTAGTTTAATAATTTAAATACGGTTGCTAAAAAATGTTACTATTTATCTATATTTTTCTTTAGTACATAATTCTAAGAATTTAGGTGATGATATAAACTATAATAATTAAATTTATGGTATAAATTCCTGTTCATGATTGAACATTCTGCCGGAGGTCAAAACTCATGTTCGTGATTGAACACCTAGTTTCGACAGTAAAATCGGTCCTCGATGCTAATATTAGCTAAAGTGAGATTTCCACTAGGTATATGGGCGTGAAAAACTAAAATTCAATTCAATCCTATAATACCGTAAAAATCCTCCTATCTGTACTTCGGCACGCAGAATCAAATGCATTCTTGTCCATAAGGAAGTACTGTTCAATTCATTACTTATGGATTAACATATTAAGACTTTAGCTACACTAATTACGATTTCGTAATTAAAATACTAGCCTAATACTATTAAAACACAAGGCTTATGTTTGTTCTAACACTCACTCACATCCACTTTAATTTTGAAATTATCTACAACTAGTGATTATTATTATTTTAATGAACCCAAACAACTGATTATTAGACACCCTAGTTCGTGTTCTGGCTGACCTTAGTTATTTTATGTTTGTTAGGAACTTCAACGTCAATAGATGAGTCTGATTGCACTTCTTCCTTATACTGAAACTCGTTTGCATCTTGACTATTTTGAGTTAAAAAAATTTGACCATGTTGTCCAAATCCTAACACTGAAAATTGTGAGTGCAGAGCAGTAGCAATACAATCTCCAGGTGGATGTATCCAACAGATTGGCTTGACTATCTCTTCTGAATCCATGTCCAATATCTTCAATTTTCTTTCTTCAGTTTGAGTGTCCACATCCTTCATGAGTTCGTCACTAAGGCCTTTGAACGAGGGTTCCTGACGTTGTTGTATTAACTTGTCTATCTTCGCAATAGATTTGCGTAAGTCACGGAGAGCACTTTCGAGTTTACCATAACTCCCAACATTTTCCTTTAATTGGTTTGTGACTTTTTCTAGTTTATCAGACATGATGGACAAAAAAATTTGGTAGGATACTGATTCACCGAAATGGGTTGGAGTGATTAATTTTGTATTTTTTTTTTGTTTATTTTTAAATTTTATTAAACATCAAAATTATGTTTTTAAAAATTTTAAATTTCTGATTCAACGATAAATTGATTGATATTCGAGCTGATGTATTAATTGAAATAAATAGCATTTATTGTTATATACATTGAGGTAAAAGCAATATAATTGTTACTTCTTCACAGTGTAATCTTGGTAGATGTCTGTTTTCTTTTCATGCGTTCTCTTAAATTGATAGTCGTCATAACCTGACAAAATTGCTGGACTTAATATTAAGTAATTATATGTAGTCACAGGATTGCATTATATTAGAAATTTAAATTAAAAAAGGCAATTAGATAATTCAGTAGACCTAAATTGTTAAAATCATGCATACATGGAATTAACAATTCATTTTTTCAGCAATAATTATTCGAACTAAATGTATTTAAGTTAAGCAATAATTTAGTATTTCTTCTACCTAAATTTAGAAGGTCAGGTCCGAGAGTAATCGAAAATATCTGTGCTATTGGAGTAAATGAATAAAACTTTGGCTTCTAAAGTAAGTGAAACTTTATCTGGAATGGCGAGTTTAAAATTGTTTCTTATTATTTTAGAAATAATATTCTAAAAAATTTTTTTTAACCATTTATAATAAAATATCACTTATCATTACAAAGTAAATATAATTACAATTTTACTCATATATTTACTGTGTTATTCATAAAAATTTCTTAAAATGCTTTTTAAATACATTTTAGTTAAAATGTATTTTAACTTTATAATGGCCTTATAATGCACATTATTCATAAACGTATTATAAACCTTTGATAACTATAATACAGATGTTAATAACATTACTGTTAAACACAAAACATTTTACAACACTGTGAGGAACAAAATGATATTAAAACGATTGTCAATTCAAATTAAGGAAAAAATAGTTGTGCTAACGTTCACAATTTTGTTTACCATGGCGACAAAAAAAATTAGGGGAGATAATTGGACCGCTGAAGACAAGGTAGATCATATTTTTGCAATAGTTATTTTTAATTATAATTATACTCTATTTTTCAGACTTTGCTTAAAGAGCTCGTTCGTGAAAACATGAATTGTATTGAAAATAAGAACACGGACACAAATACAAATAAAGCCAAACAAAATGCTTGGATTAATTTACACGAATGGTTTGTATGCACACACTTTCATAATTAAATATGTAAGGCGCCTTATTTTTGTTTTTATAAAATGGTTTATTTTAGCTTTAACGAAATGGGTTCTGTGAAGCGATCAGTGGTCCAATTAAAGGCACAATGGTCTATTATAAAAATGAACGCTAAAAAAGAAAAAACTAAAGAAAGACGTGAGATCTTACAAACAGGCGGAGGGCCACATCGTCCTGCAGAAGCATTGGGAAGTGATGACATTTCTGTTTGGCTTCCAAATGAGTTTGTAGTTGACCACAATATATTTGATTCGGATAAGAATAAATTTGAAGAAATAGCAAGTACTGAAATTATATAATTATATAAAATTATATAAAAAATTAAATTAAATACTCACCAATTTCTTTAATTACGCTTATAGCATCCATATTTAATTGTATTTCACCCAAAAAAAATTACTACACAATCAAAAATTGTGCTTAAAATGCTGTTATAGAAGGTATGAACCTTTTTTAAATTTTGACATATTTTAACAGCATTTTAACAGCATTTTAAGTTTAAAATACGTTTATGAATACAGTTTTATAAATGCTTTATAACACTGTTAAATAACGTTTATGAATAACATTTTCGATAAAATGTATTACAAATCTACTATAACTTTTTATGAATAAGGCCGTTAATCTTTATGCAGTTAGTTTGGTGCTGCAAAAGTAGGTTCGCATTAACTCCGAATGTATAATGGAGTTTGGTTATTTTGGTATACAAATTCGAACTAAAGTCTTTAATCTTGAAATATTATATCCGTGGGTCCACTTTTTTATTTTGGCTGGGACTCGAACAACAAAACAAAGGTAAGTGAATGTAACTAATAAAATTTGATTATTATGGACTTAAAATTACATCAATATTTGATTACAATAATAACTGTTATTATTTTTGTACCGAACCATCGTAGTTAACTTACTTAAAATTGCTTGAATTACTTGAGTCTCTAGTGAGTTAACTATAGAGTTATTTTAGTCAAACATCAATAATTCTTTTTTTGTGAAATGCAATTCTTAGAAAAATGCAAGCCATCGTGTATGTGACAATCAAAATTAAGAATTTCATGATATTAACCGTTTGTTGTTAAGAATATTTTTGCTGTCCTTAGTCTAATCCAATATCGGATGTCTTTCATTTATACCATGCTTGCGGTCAAAAATATAAGTAATTATTAGAAATCGGTTCTTTAAATAATGTACTTTATGTCCAAAAAGTCAGTTGTAAATACCTTTCTGACTTTATCTAATCTTTTGAGGATCAATTTTTTTCTGCTTTGGTAACAGGTTGGTTCCAGTTATTTTTCTGAGTCCAATCTACTTTTTTCATATATTTTCATATTTATTAAGTTTTCAAATATATCAAAAGCTATATCAAAAGATGATCACTACATGATTTAACATTTATTCGAAAATATTCTCGTATTGAACCTTTTATTGAATACATTTACCCTTGGAATGTATTCAAATTTTAATAAGGATCTTTTAGGATTTCCTTCAAATTTATCAAAAATATTTGAATATTTGTTAAAAAAGTTCGAAAATGTAGTTGTTCTAATTGGCTTTTCATTTTTAAGATTAACGATGTATTTTTCGTTTTACTTTGAGTCCAGGTATCTCTCAATGAGATTTTTACATTGACAATAACATACTATATGATCTTCCGTACTTAGAAAATTTAAATCCTTGAAAAATACTTGGTAGATCTGTGTAACCAATAGAACTTTAAGCCTACAAAGGTGCTTAACTCTACCTGGTATCACGCAGTCTATGTGTAGTTTGCAGCCTGTCAGATAAATCTAACCTAAACTTTAGTTTCTATATTTACTAATTTTGTTTTATTATAAATAAATCCCGATATAATGCATGTTTTTTTTTAGGTATCGAAATATGACTAAGAATATGCAGAAGAGGATTTTTTAAACGTCAGGGTATTAATTTGAATTTGCAACCGGTTCAAGATAATTTTTCTGTTTATTCACTTCTTAAATAAGTAATTACTTCGCTTAAGGATAAATTAAACGAAAATAGTAATAAA